CCTGAGAGTTCTGGTAGACAACAAGTTGACCATGAGCCAGCAATGTGCCCTTGTGGCCAAGAAGGCCAATGGTGTCCTGGGGTGCATTAAGAAGAGTGTGGCCAGCAGGTCGAGGGAGGTTATCCTCCCCCTCTACTCTGCCCTGGTGAGGCCACATCTGGAGTAGTGTGCCCAGTTCTGGGCTCCCCAGTTCAAGAGAGAGACAGGAAACCACTGGAGACAGTCCAGCGGAGGGCCACAAAGATGATTAGGAGTCTGGAGCACCTCTCTTATGAGGAAATGCTGAGAGACCTGCAGCTCTTTAGCCTGGAGAAGACTGAGAGGGGACCTTATCAACACTTATAAATATCTAAAGGGTGGGTGTCAAGAGGATGGGGCCAGGCTCTTCTCAGTGGTGCCCAGTGACAGGACAAGGGGCAACGGGCACAAACTGGAGCACAGAAGTTCCGCCTCAACATGAGCAAAAACTTCTTGACTTGAGGGTGACAGAGCACTGGAACAGGCTGCCCAGGGAGGTTGTAGAGTCTCCTTCCCTGAAGATATTCAAAACCCACCTGGATGCAGTCCTGTGCAACCTGCTCTGGGTGAACCTGCTTTAGCAGGAGGGTTGGACTAGATGATCTCCAGACATCTCTTCCAACGCCTACCATTCTGTGATTCTGTGATCTGTCCCAGAAGGGAATGAGACAAACACACAGGAATCAGCCCTGCACCTTACTGATGAACTACTTTCCTCCAGTTTTTAATCCCCAGTGCTCAATGGCTGATACAGTGAAGTCTGGTTTGTACATCCCATACCTGATGATACTGTTTCTCCCAGCATTGTCTTGCAGCGCTTACAAATTACTCTGGTATTTTCCTTTGATTTCTGTAGGACAAAGAAACGTCATTTAAATATCACTCAGTTATTCTGAAAAAAAAGGAATGTATAATTTTAACATACTCTCCAGAGTAGACAGTGAACTTTGTACTTGTTTCTGTTCTTTTATGTTTATATACACACAGATTTGCATTCACTACTTCAGCTTTCTACACTTCAACTGGCTTGCAAATTTCATACTAGTTTTAAATTCTGACAATATATACTGACCACACACCACAACCTGTAATAGCTAACAAGAGAATCTTCTCATATTGAGTGACCGGATGATAAAATGACAAGGTAAATTCGATTTGTATATGGGCAAAATAAGGCACATGAAAAGAAGCATTCCAAAATATATACAGTATATACACATATACAAAATAAGTATTTGTATATATACAATATATATAAACAGAAAAGGAATTGACAAAGAATAACAATAACTGTCAGAGGTGCAAAACAGTTTCCATATGTGGCAAGAAATGGTAGAAAGCATGAAAGAAAAATAAGAGGTATCATTGAGATATATAAAATCACGAATGTTTTGGAAAAGCTGGAGAGGAAAAAAAAACATTTACTCTCACAGCTCATGCTATGAAATATTAACCTGGTTTATATCAAAGAAAAGGAAGTTATTTCTCACACAATGTATAATATAGTTTGGTACTCACTACGGGGAAGTATTTTTCATATTAAAAATATAAATAAATTCAAAAAGTCTTCAGAAACTCAGGGGAATCAATGTTCATCAAGAGCTTATTAAAAACAAAAAATGTGAATAACAACATCTAGTTCAAGAAGTCTCTACACTGCCCAAAACATCACTAAATACTTGCCTTACTCTTATGCATCCATTACCGCCCATTGAAAAAGTTCTCATTTCTGGATGAACCTGTGATCTGCTCTAGTAGCACTCCTACTAATTCCAGTGTTAATATTTAAATTCACTATCTGTATAAAGATACAAGTAAGCGCAACTCCTATTTTAATCCGAAGCCTAAACTCCAGAACTGACTCTGTGTGGGCTTATTAACCTCAGTGTAGCACAGTACAGCCCTGGTCTGGAAGCAGTATGTATATACAACCACAATGATGCTCCTGAGTTAATAAACCCTTCTGGAGCTAGAAATCCTCAGAATGGAATAAGAAGAAACCTAAATTGGATTTTACACATGGTCTTTGTACAACCACAATTATAATTAATTGTTCATACAGTGTACAGTGAATAAAAATATCCATGCATAATTAAACAACTGCTGTTCTATTGGCTTGGTTTATAAGCCCAAACAAGTCACTAACAACTTGAGAAATCATATTGCAGCACATGTCTACAAAAATAATATATAAATTTAGCATAAATTTAGCATAAATAAACTACTTGAGGGAAAAAACCTCCAAATTTATCTTTTTCTGTAACCTTTGTAAAAGATGGCGACAATTCCCATGGATTCCAACTGGAGCGAACATACATGCGCTCTTTGGGGAGCACAGTTTTTCTTCATCACCACTACCATACTCCTTAGTATTCAAATTTTAAAATGTATGATGATGGTGTGTCAGACTGATGTCCAGAACAAAAAGTGGTGCTCTGTGGCCTACCATATCACAAAATTATTTAAAAAAAAAAAAAAAAAAAAAGAAAGAAAAAAAAGAAAAAAAGAGCAGCATGAAGTAAATCCAAACAGCCCTAGCTATGTCAGGTACACTTTTTGTCTTACAAAGGTAAGTTTTGAGGTATGTCCATTACAGGTTGTCTTCAGAACCTGGATTGTGGACTTTCAGACTACACAGGTTTCCAAGCACAATTATCGCAACCAAAATAACTCTTTATCAATTGATTTATTCTAATTGAGGTGCCCTGAAGGACAAGTGGTCTGTGATTAGACGAGTAATGAAAGAGATTATAGACGAGTCAAACATGCTGGGCCAATTTTTTCAGTTACTCTACAGAAAAGCGTAAGTACTTCCTGCTGCAATGATAGAGAAGGAGTAAACAAGGGGGAGAGAGGAGCTATACACATCAGTCTGGATCATTAAGTAGGCTGTGCTTAGTCTAACAATCTGCACTAAAATACAGCCAAATGCCAAATCATATATTCAGGAACAACAGGAAAAACAAAGCCAGTGATGATAAAATAAAGGAATAAATAGTGGAAGATAGCAAAAATCAAAAGAATTTAGATGATGGTAGCTAATCAAACCAAAACTACTAATGAGATGCTACAAAGAAGGGGCAAATATGACCTCTGAATGCATGAACGACTGAATAGTTGACACAAACAAACAGAAAAATATAACATCTTCAGAATTAGTGAGATGATTACTGCAAAAACGGATCTATAAAGCATGTTAAAAATTTGGGAAATGGTTTGGAAAACTGCTACAAAAATACTTTCTAGAAAGTAAATACACCTCAGAGATAAAAAGAGATTCACAATCGCAACTCTTAGTGTGCTTAATTTAATAAGAAGGCAGCAAGAGTCAGGATAATTAACCACTGAAACAGCTTACCAAAGAACGTGATAAAGCTTCCATCATTTACAGTACTAAATCAATACTGAACATCTTTCTCGAACCTATAGCTCAGACAGAACTGATGGAATTGATGCTGAAAATACCTAACAGAGTTCACTGATCTGTACTACGCAAATAGTAAAATTAACAGAGAGGACCACTCTAGCTCCACAAAAACCAGAAGGCATCCCACATGGAATCTGAACTTATGATCACAAAGTCCTGCTTGCTCCTCACAAACCAGGAATCAAACTAAAAGCTCCAGGGAGAGCCCAACAGGCTCTGTTAAAGCTTCAGAGAGCTGACTTGTTATGAGAGCCCCCTTGTTATGCAAATCAGAAAAAACATCTGGTACATATATACACAGTTATCCGCTTTCCCAGTTCCTACCTTGCTACTTCTCTCAAACATATACAGTAAAATTACTTGCATAATGTGAAGAGTGAGGGTAAGTAGATAGGGTTTTGTGAAAAACAGTATTTGAGGTTGGAACAAATATTGCACAGTGCAAGTATATAACATACAGTACTTCCTTGAAAGCTATAACTTGAATGTTTTTTTCTGACTACAGTTACAGGTGCTAGCTAAGAATTGTGCAGTATCATGCTTCAATGGAAAAAGCGATAGTTTTAGCTAGACTAATTAAATCAATATATCTATCTGACAACTTGCAGCTGCTGGCAATCTGCAGATGGAGGTGGATCACCAGCCTAATATTTTCTGTTTCTATTCCTAAGGATCCCTGATACGGTGTCACGGAAAATATTTTCCCCAAGAGATACTATTAGGATGCTGCAAGACCATGTGACATTTAAAAACTATGTTACACTGGAAGACTAATAGACGTGAAAAATATGTTTGCAATGGACGGATGCTGTCTTGGTCCCACTGGAGGCTGGAAAAGATTGTTTAAGCATCTTTGGTA